CGTATGCTTCTTTGAAAGAAAAGCTATAAAAAGTTTTCTGCCAAATTAGAAAAAAGTTAACATGAGGCATTTCTATCATAATATCTTCATTAGTTGCCTCTGGTAAATCTTAACTTCATGCTTTGCCATAGTCCTTGGAGTTTCTAACAGAAGTATTGCTCAAATGTAAGTGCAGATAGGATTTACTGTATTGAAAGTTCTATTATTGCTAGCTTCTGGTTATTTGGTGCATCATTTTATTCCTTGATGATCAAAGGCTCTCGTCAATGATGTTTAATCTTTCAAGTTTAATAAAATCCCTGCATTAATGTGATTTCCCTATTTGTTTTCTTTTAGTCTATCCTAATATTTGTATTTGTCAGTTAATCAAATTACATGCATTCTTGAAAAATTAGTATTAACTTAAACAATCCTACTGTGTGCTATTTTGGTCTTAATCTACATTCATTCAACCAACTAGTCCACTTTATATATTATCCACGCATCTCTGATTGACTTCAATGTAATATTTTGTCCCACTTCTCTTTCTTGATCGAAATGCTAGTCTGATTGGAAGATTTTATAGCTAAAGGAGAGTTAATTCTTCATCTTACAATTAGAAATGCAACATTAAGAATTGCTCGTTTTCTGAAAGTGAAAGTTTTGCAGTTCATTCCATAGAAAATGAACTCGAAGACAGCACACAGATCAGAGCAGTGGTGAAAAGCTCTCTTGCTCTTTGCTCAAGTGTGTATGTGTTGACGAGCCTGTTTGGTTTTCTCCTCTTTGGTGATGCAACCCTTGATGACGTGCTTGCCAACTTCGATACCAATCTTGGAATTCCATTAGGCTCCTTGCTCAATGATGTCGTTCGTGTCAGCTATGCTGCCCACCTAATGCTTGTCTTTCCCATCGTCTTTTATCCATTGAGGCTTAATTTGGATGGTCTTCTCTTTCCTTCTGCAAGGCCTTTGACTTGTGACAATTTGAGATTTGCTTCGATCAGCAGTGGGCTCATAGCCATCATCTTTCTGGGTGCAAATTTCATCCCAAGCATCTGGGATGCTTTTCAATTCACTGGGGCAACTGCTGCTGTTTGCATTGGGTTCATATTTCCTGCTTCTGTTACTCTCAGGTAAAAACATTTTTGTTAGATAGTTTATTCCAGGATGTTAGCTTGTTCTGATATTTTTCTTATCCAAAACCTCGGATCCAAATCTTGCATAGAGATCTTGCTAACTCCTCAGCCAGACTGAAAGATAAAATGGGAACATTAGGATGCTCCATCAGGAGCAAATCTAAGTTCCACATATTGGAGTTAGACATTTAATAGAGTTTGTGGAATGGAAATAGAAGAACAGCTTCATTGTTTCCTTGATGTCCTTGCAAATTTTTATTGTGACATATTTACAGTCATCCTCTGACAGTGTGACTGATAAAAATAGATTAATGTTGTTTACTAGTGCATTTGATGAACTTGTAATTTTAGGTTGTAACATGCTTATTTGTCATCCTGCGATGGAAGCCATTAAGTCTGGAGCTAGTTGTTCCTGCTTAAATGCACCTTTCTCTCCCTTTTGAAATGGTAAATTGAAACTAATAACATATGCATCCAACTTCTGTATTGGAGGGAGTTGGCCCGGAAACAACAGATATCTGCTAAGTTTAGTGTTTAGAAAGTTCCTGCTTACATATGTCTTCTTGAGGAGTAAAGAAGTCACGTCTGGAAAAATGTATGCTAGTAGAACAGTCTTTAGTCCTTCATTTTTTCAATCCATTGAGAGAACCAGAATTGGGCAACTTATGTACAGGTTTCTGTGAACATAGAAGCTAAAGAATATAACATGCAAAAAGTGTTTCTGTTTCCTATCCTTTTCTTTTCTCAATGTTGCCTGCCAAGCCCTTGAATTGTGTCTTAAACGAGGCTAAGGAGTTCTTGGTATTGTAATTTTGAGGTTTGCTTTGGTTGGTACTGCTGATGATCAAGTAAGTTCACTTATAATTCGATGTTCAAATATTTTAACTGTCAAAATTTCAAGATCTACTAGGATCATGTAAACTTGTCAATTTACTTTTGCCATAGATCTTCTCCTTCTCCTTCTCCTTCCCAGCATGCATAGTGTCAACCAGTTACTGATATAGTTGCTGTCTTTCATGTTCCAGAGATCGATATGGCATAGCAACAAAGAAGGACAAGATCTTGTGTATATTTATGATTGTCATTGCTGTGTTTTCAAACGTGGTGGCCATATATAGTGATGCCTATTCCTTGATTAAAAAGAATTCATCACCAAGTGAGTGATTTTCTCATTTCGCCTGCTAGCAATAAGTGAGATGGAACCATCAGATGCACTCCCGGGGAAGATAGACAGACTGAAGATGGGATCATTATGGTGTGCAGGAGATGGTGTTTTTCCTTAAATTTCCCGGTTCGCGATTTAATAAGTTTATATATATATATAAACTATATATTAAAACTTGAGTAGCTTTGCTCAAGATGTATCAAATCCTATCATTCATGTGCTATCAAGTTATCGTTTGTATTACAAAAATGATGTCTGTTTAACGGAATGAGAGAACAGACAGTACGATATGGCTGAGACCTGAGTTGTATAAAAGTATTTGTTGTTTCCTTTTCATGTATTGATATATGAAATGTTGATGGAGTGTTTAGTTATCTGTTAGAGGTATGTATGCTGGTCAGATAAAAATGGTAAATATAATACATTTTGATATGTTTACTAGTGAAAGCTTAAAATTATCCAACATTTTTGGAAAGTTGGAGTAATGAACTAAATTCAAACAAATTTAGATATAAAAACCACAAGTTTAAATTATTTTATGTGGTTAAGAAATTTAAAAGATATGTCAGATTTTATGTGGTTATATTATTATCTATATAATTGAAATTTGACTATTTGAAAATATATCGTTATTAAATCCTGCATAAGTGAATCATGTTTGGTAGTTAATTAGGAAGTAAATTGTTCACGAATAAAATTAATATTATTGTGTTTAATTTGTTATTTAGAAATCCGCATAATATATGTATAATGAGAGAATTTATGTACTAGTTTATACAAATAGAAGATGAAATAACTAATACAAGTATAACAAATATCTACATAAAATAATAAATAAGTTCCCTAGTAACTAATCTCTACATTATTAAATACATACATAACTCTTATCAGCTATCAAACGACTCCTTATATATAAAAATAAAAAAAACTTCTTATACATCCAATAAAATTAACCTACATTAATACATTTAATTTGATAATCTAAAGAATAACATGATATATTTCATGTTAAATTGGATTAATATTGGAAAAATGCTTCTCTTCTCACTTCTCCCTAGCCTGTTTGTATATACCTATGTGAGTTTTTGACCAAAATAATCCTTAAACTATACCTGAAACTTAAACTACATCCTTAAAATGTCATTCTTAGCTGAAAACATCCTTTTAATATTTAAAGTGAACAATTTTCATCATTCTACTTGAATTTATCATAAAACAAATTCCACAAAAATCAAGTCATCCCTTCATATTTATTATTCTGAGATACGCCAAAATATTATCGTGAACTTTTTCGATAATTGAATTTAACATTATGCAAAATCTTTTAATTTGACAGTTTTTTTTTCATTTATGTTTCATGTGATTTAATATTAAAAATATTATTAGGTGAAATATGTTCCTTCTCAATTGAATATGCTAGAAGCGGCATTTGTTGGAGACTTTCGCTTCTAATAATGTAGAATGAAACTCAAATGCGAGACATAATCAATATTTTGATCACTTTAGTATCAAATTGCCCATCTAAATACAGTTTGACTTTGAAAAAGGTAAAGATAATCTCCAGCTTCTTTCCGTTAGTAAATGAGAAAATAGTAGATCATGTATCCTTACACCTTCCAAACATTTTTGTTTCAGTAAGCAGCGTGTCTAAGATTTTTAATATTTTTTTTCAGGAGCTTCTTATAGCAGATAATGAAATTATGCTGGAAAACTTTTGTTGATAGTCACGTAAACTATTCATGTTTTTGTAGGATCCCTTAGTTTTTTGACGATACCTAACAAAAGGATGAAATTGTTAACTTTCAATTACTTAAAGGATGTTTCTTGCCATAAAAGATATATTAAGGATGTAATTTAAATTTGGGGTATAGTTTAAGAATATACTCATATCTAGGGGTGTTCACGGTTTGGATAAAAATCGATCCAAACCAAAAAATCGAACCAAACCGATAAAATAAAATCGATTTTATTTGGATTTGGTTTGGTTTGGTTTTAGATTTTTGAAAATCGATAGTATTTGGTTTGGTTATGGTTTTATTCTAAATAAATCAAAGAAATAACCGAATCGAACCGAACCGATGAATTATATACATATTTAATATATTATTTTTATAAACAATTTTATAGATCTTATACATATTTTCATTAAAATTTCTTTATAATTTACTTATTGAAAGCAAAAATGTCCAAGATGAAACATTTATCTTAGTAATTTCACGTATATGAGTGTCTATGACAATTCTTTGTGGGATTGAAAATGTTATTGTCTGTTCTGTCTAGGCCAATATAGTGAATTTTAAAGTTTTAATGATAGTAAATTTAGTGATCGAAAGTTCTGTAATTTAAATCATTCTAACTATTTTTCGTTTTGAATGGATTGTTGTCACTTTTTTCACATTTTGAATGAATTGTTTCTTTTATTTTTTTGTATGGTTAATAACCGAATAACCAAACCAAACCGAAATCGATAACCACCAAACCGATAAATGTATATTATATTTGGTTTGATTTGGTTTTGATAATTTTAAAACCGATTAATGGTTTGATTTTGGTTTTGATCAATAACCGATCCAAATCAACCCGTGAACACCCCTACTCATACCTATGTTAATAAGGGAAAAAAACTCAAATATATAATTAAATTATGAAAAATAGCTTATTTATGTCATTTGTTAGAAGTTTGGTCTATTTATATCATTTTAGTAAGAATCAAATTTTCGAGGGATGAGATAATCAAAGTTTGATGCATATTTGAGTATTTTTCCTATTAATAATAACTCGGCACTTGTCCGTTTGTTCACCGGCGATCATTGATTCTGCGGTGACTGGCTCATTCTCCCTATCTAGAAGGCGGCTCTCCATTTCGTATTTGTCTCTTTCCGGTCCTCGACAAGGTATCTATACTACTTTAAGCTTTCTATCGGTTCTCTCGATTTGTTAAGAGTTTAGTCTTTCAGCAAACGGGGAAGAGTTACCTCAAATTGAATCCATTGAAGATTATTTATCAGCCCTAGTTTTGTGAAATTATTAGAGTAGTTATTAGAATTAGGGATTGCAAATGATTGATAATATCCTTAGGAGTTTAATTATATGTAAATTTTGAGATATTTGGTGAAGATTAGAATTGGTTTTGGTCGGGATTTCATATGGTTGTGTTTGGTATAGAGGACAATATTTTCTGGAAAATGCTTACCTATTTTCTCTTGTTTGGTTGCCATAAAATTTTGGTGAAAATATTTTTTTAGAAAACTAAAATTGGTGGAAAATGACTTACTCCGGACTAAAAACAGTCTGGGTGTGTTTGGTATGGTGGAAAATGTGAGTGATACTAATTCATCAAGAAATGAAAATGGTAGTTAAGTAAAAGGAGATTTAGGAAGAAACATGTCAATAGATGGAGATGAGGAAACAAAAGAAACTAATGTAGATGATGTTGTGAAGTTGTTGCAGACTTATACCAGATGAACAATTGCTTAATAAAGCTAAATCAACTTCTCCGACGGAAGGGGAGGGAAAATCGAAGTCTCGTGCTTGAGGGGTGTTTATTGTTGCTTATATAGGGACTGTTAGCAATTTTCTCTAGTTGGTAAAATACACTTAAAATAGTCTGTTTTTTGTAATTCATGAAAACTAGATATGGGTTCAACAGTTGACCTGTAATCATGTACATAGATTACTGAAATTATCATTGTGAGTTGTGATGATTCGTTGCAGAATCTGATTTAAAGAATATATTACAAGTAATAATTGTATTGATTTTAAATAGGAAAATCCCCTGTATACAAGTGGTATAGCAAAAGTAGAAACTCTACTATTGTATCCTGTCATCTGTACTATCTGGGACCTCATGGTTTCACAAGAAATTATTCTCTCTACTAGTTGGATAAACTAATATTTGTGTTTGACTCTAGTCTCTATGGTGTCCATGCCTGACATAGTAGATTACCAAGCAAGAAAGAGCGAGTGTCAATCTTGTGCTGTAGTTTAAGTTCTTGGGTAAATTGAAAGAAGAGGTGTTAATAACATAGGTTCTTGCGCAGTTTCATGACACAGGTTATTGCGTTGTTATCACACCCTTTATGTCATGAAACAAAAGCCTTTTGTGTACTAAATTTATACATATAGTCTAATTAATCCGTGCTATCTCCTCCATTCTTAAACCCCAAGATTTACAAATGTGCCTCTGTGTGGGTTGCCTTCTTTAATCGCTCTTATTCTTGACATATTAGTTTTTTGTATATGTAATAAAAGGTGCAAAAGTTTCCTCCCCTACTTAATTACGTGGTGGAACTAATAAAAAATCCAATAAAAGAGCTATATCATTTTCAAATTCTAAATTGCACGGCCAATTTTCCAGTATTGACAACTCTTTCTCAATCTGACATCCCAGCTATTGTTTTGCTTGTATTGAGCAATGGTGGCTTCAGGATATGATGCAAAATTTGTACAATGGTAGCAATAATTGTTCTATACATACTAATCTTGATGCGTTAGTATGAACTTTCCCAGTCTACTCTACTTATGCTCTAAATTTTGACTTTTGCAGTAATTTTTCTCAATCTAGATATTTGAATATTTTTGGTCTTGTATCGTTAGCTCTCCAGCAATAATTGAAGGCAGTTAAATGTACCCTTCATAGGGTTGTCTGCAGTTGGCTATTATTATCTTTTCCTTGTTTACCCATTCGGACATAATTGTTTTAAGTCAATCTCCACATTAAAAATTTCATTCTTTCATTTTTCCTGGAATATGAAAAGCTATTTTGTTTCTTTTATTTGTTTACAGAACTCCAATACCAAAGTTCATATCTTCTGTTTTTGGTTGGTTATAATTATAATTTTATATCTACCATCATTAACCAAGTTTTGTCACCCCTCAGGCTCTTAAACGTGAACTGCTGTGAAAGATGGAGCAGGACCACTTGGCTGAGTCGCTCAATGACCTTTTAACAAATGTTTCCACGATGATTAGAGGCGAGCTCCAGGTATAAGAAAGTTTTTGTTTCTGTATTTTTTTTACCAACAGTGCTGCTTTGTATATCGTCAATTTCCTTTTCTTTTCTTTCATTAGGGATGTGAAGAGAGGGGGCTCTCATTTACATGAGTTGATGGACTTCTGTAGACGTTAGTTTTTCTTCGTTCTCGTTTGTTGTCCCAAACCTTCGTGTCTTGCTAAATATGCAACTAGTGTTGCACTTAAATGTAGCAGGATGGACTGAATTTTCAAAGGAAATTAATCATTCTTTACATGTTCCTCACACATGTTTCTCACAGTTATCCTACTGCAAAGTTGCCATCCCCATAACAACTGAATAGTTTACCTTAGTAGTCAGCTTAGAAATAATTTGCACAGAAGAAGTGGAAGATTGCTTTTTGATGAGCCTGACAAATGTGTAATTCAGAAATGATCAGTTAATGGTGTAATTCATAGTTGTCGTTCCTACCCTTGGTATATTAGAAACTATTATTGCATAACAAGCTTATGCTGCTTTGTTCATTGTATCCCAGGAAACTAACAATGTACTTGAACTTGTGGAGAAAATGAATACAAGAGTTGCTGAAGAATATAAAGGCTTTGGAGATGTGGCTTCAGGATTGACTATCTTTGTGGAGCAATTGAAGTGTAAGAGTGGCAGCTTTGACGAGTATGTTCAACAGATTGACACAATTGAACAGCAAGTTACAGAATTTGAAGCTGTAATTTCGATGCTTGATAAGTATGTTTCACTGCTGGAATCCAAAGTGCATTCTGCTTACCAAATTCCTCCACCATGAATCAACATTTTTTCGTCTTCTTTTTGTTTCAAATGCAATACCCTAAAAGTTGTTCCTGGATTGAATCAAACTTGGTTTTTGTATGTTATCAAGCAACATCATACATATAACAAGAAAATGAATTTACCAACCGTTCTATCTCAAACAGGATAATATTTGAATGAGTTGAAGTACACATATATATTTAATTAGCTTGTTTATCTTTTTGCTGTTTATATGAATCTTTTTATTGCCTTCAACTCTTTTTCTCTGATAATGTCTTTACTCTTCTTTTACATGTAGTGTTCTCACTTCTCGTCTGCTGCAATGCTTCGTGATGTTTTATTTTCTGGGTTGGGAGAAGTAAAAACGGAAACGAGTGGATTCCCATAAGCTTTCGCCCATGAAATGGCGTGTCCAAAGAAGTAAATGAAGGGAAGTGGAACCAAAGAACATATATACTGTTAAATGTTTTCTCAAATACTTTTTGTTAACTACAAAACAATTAATCACCACAGCACTCAAAAGATAAGAGGTAACTGGAGAACGAATTTTCATAAGTGAGGTAACTGGAAAATTCGACACTCTTAAAGCAGTTGAAATTGCATAATACGGCTTATCTCATAATATCAACAAGAAATTGCCACCAGTAGCATCCTTCATTTGTTAAAGCAGTGATCATGCTAATTAGTACAAGGAAACAAAAGATGCAAAACACTCTTAGCCAGCTAATATAATATAACAGATCAATGTTTGTTTCTTGCTTTCTTTGGTGGTTCTGGATCCATGTTCTTGCTAAACTTTTCATTCATGTCCATGCTAGCTCTCGTGATATATCTCTTCGATCTGTGTTTTGCTGGTATGCTTTTCACTCTCTTTTCTGTACTTGATCTAGATTTCTCTGTCTGGTATGTGCATCTGCTATCTTGACTTTTCAAGGTTTATCTATTTGGTCCATACTTTGCGCATTTCCATTGGGAGAAACCGTCGATTTCTCAATAGCTGATATGAACTTCTTCAGATGTTTTATGTACTCGGGATAGAGCTCTAGATCACAATGGTTACCTCCTTCAACCCACAACGGGTCATATTTTTGCTTACATAGATCAAACAGCTGCTTACCATGGGAACAATCCACAACATCATCTGCGGTGCCCTAGAAATGTCAAGAAAGTCATATGGGGATGTCAGCAGGCAATTGTAGAATCAAGCGACACCATTGTAGTTCTTGATTCTAAGGAGTCAATACATCCAAACTACAGGCCTTCAATCTCTACCATTCCCTCTGGTTTTGACTCATTTCCTGAGGATAGCTAGATGATATAGAATAATGTTTTCCTGCTGTTATAGCATTTCTCTAGCTGGGTAAACGATCAATTGAAAAACGAGGGCATAGCTTCATGATTAATTACTAAAAAGAAGACTTTTATCAATGAAATCATGCAAGGAAAAGAAAATAAGATGAAGAAAGTACATTCCCAGAAAAAAGTGGTTAAGAGTAGGAGCTGACAGGGGAAGACTAGAGGAGGAGAGGCATAAGGGAGTAAATTGAATTGTTACATCCCTCGTGAGATTTATCTGGCCTCTAATTAGTTCCCCACAAAACAATCAACCGCGAAACAGAAGTGACTCATCAGTCCCTAACCAAAACTGAGAGAGTAACAAGTGAATCAATTTTGCTAATTTATCGACAGTTACTAGTCCATGACAACAGAAAAAAACACATTTAAGGTAGTATCAAGTATGATATATTTATGATGAGAATATGGATACTCACATGAATAATGAGGACCGGACATTCAACCAATGGTATCTTGTCAATGTTCTGCATTGGGAAAAGAAAGAAAATAGCTAATCACAAGAAGAAAATAAAGAAAACTAAAATTTAGTCAAATAGAACTCCACATAACTACCACAAACAGAAGCCTAACCTTAAATATGTCAAACCAGTATGTCCGCTTAACTGGATGCAAGACACGAACTCCAGAGAGTATCGGGCTGTGCAGAACCAGTCCCCTCAATCTTGATAAGCGGGATCCCATATCTACTGTTGGTCCACTACCAACAGACTGTCCATATAATATTATATCCTCCTCTTTCACCCCATATGTCTCTTCAAGACACTGATATGCAGCTTCTATATCGGCGTAAGTGTTCTGCTCACTTGGCTACAGAAAAATAAGAATACAGAGTCAAATACTTTCATCTCAAACAACTGAATTTAATCATCTACAGAAATATTCCATACCTTGCCAGTGGACTGGCCATACCCTGAATAGTCATACCTGCCAGAAAGGAGAGAAAACTCAGAAACATGAAGGTGAGTTTAACTTCCAATATGTACAGCCTTTTTGGCGTCCCTATTTACTGTATTTTCAACTGTGACATTAGGGATCAGATTTGATGTCACAACTTTTATTGCTTCACAGAAAAGTTTGCAAACTTTCCTAAACCTCGCAGCTTCTCTTCCTCCAAATTTCATTAATATATAATCTGGTACTTCGTTTAAAGGAGAGAAGGAAGAAATCAAATGGGAAGGAAAAATGAGCATCTATTAGATTTTCAAGATGAGCTCGAAATAATTCGCGAGATGGCATATGTCAAAAGTTAAATATGTCACTTTGTATAAACCACACAACAAAGCTTATGTCTCAACAAAAGAAACATACTTTTTCAACATTAATGCATATCCACCAGGTCAGATTGGAAGAAAAATACCCAAACCATTTCAAAGTTAAACAGCAACATCAACTTTGCAGAGATGGACAAATATCAATCACGAAAGTTAGAACATCAGCTATCAACTAGCCTTCTCTTCACATGTAAAGATCACAAACAAAGCGATTAAGAACAGTCGATGTCAGATTCGCACCATGGTTGTTGACACATGGTTTTGTGATACAAAAAGGTTTCCTCCAGCAAGCACAAGCTTATCCCCGAGTCCCTAGATGCACCTCATTAGGCTTAAGGTTGCTTAATTCTATTCTAAATTGACAAGCACATACATAATAGAGTCACATATTATGTAACCCACTGTCAGTAATAGAGGCTAATCCAGATTCAGGATTGATTATGTAACATACAGTCACGAACACGGACTACAGATACACTATGTCCAATAGACCCTTCCCCTTCCCCTGATATCAAAGTGCAGCCATTGCTTTTGAATTCCAGAACCACCTCTACCAGACAGCAAAAATAAAGAACAGAATGTGTCCAATTAACCCTACTATCATAACAATTGAGTTCTAATCCAACACAACCTAAATTATCAAATATTATGAATCTCAATATTACAGAGAGAAGAATACCCCATCAAATTGACCCGGAGATGGAGACTGAGTTCTGTAAACAAATCGTACATCTGCCCTAAATCAGCAGCGTTTCCATGTGAGTAAAGCACGGTCAACTTCGCGGCCGGATTCCTCACGTACATAGCAATAATCTCCGTCCCCTTCTTCGTCTCTAGCTTCAAAATGTCAACGTCTTCCCCTTGAACCACCTCTGTCATCTTAAGTTTTCCGGTCGATTCTTCCACCACCACCCCATACGACGGCGGATTAGGCGGAAAAAATGCAAACTTTGCCGCCATAGACGACGTTACAGCTCCCATCGCTCCCCCCCAAATCTGTATATATATAATTCAATAAATTACCAGAATAGCTACATGAAAATCCTGCAAATTTCTTATGCAGATGGTTGTAAGGTTTTCCGGCGAGTGATGATCATGACGGGTTGAGACGAATGGGAGCTGTACGGAGAAACTCAGATTTTTTTCTTTTTTTTTTATTTGGAGAAAATAATTTTTTTTATTTTTTAATTTGGGTGGTGGTTTAGTCTGACACGTGGCAGCTCATAGTAGATTGTAAATTTCCAAGGTCCTTCCAGGGCTTTTTTTGTACAGCTACGTACGTAGAAATAAGATGACCATTTTTTTTTTGTTAAAAAAAAGCCTAATACATAAATTGGACCCTTAACTTGGCTTTAAATCATAGTAACTTTGATCTTTAACTTTGTTACTGTACAAGTAGACACTTTAACTATCAAAAATTTAAACAAAAAACACTTGAATCCTACCTGGCAAAATGTGTGAAATACACCCAAATTAGGAACGTCAGAGGTAAAATTCGATGACCCCAACAATTAAAAAAAAACATTGAAAACACTATTAAATCCTTAATCAATTCTTATATATATATATATTTTAAATTTTTTTAATTAAATTTCACTTTTATTCTCTTTCTAATTTTTCCAACATTTTCCCCTCTTTTTTTTTTTGCATTATTTGTTGTTCATTGCAAAATGCACAAATTGCAAGTGACATTTAATTATTTTTTGTTAATGTGAAAAAAAAGTTATAATGAAGTTTTTTTTATTTTTTCCTATATCTATTGTAAGCAAGATGTGGTGAGTATACACTTGTAAAAATTGAATGCAATCTAAGTCCGAAGACTCTCAATCAATCACTCCGATCCACACTTAAGGGACTCCTTATATTTGATTTGAATATAAGGACATGAATTTCAGAAATTTAGATTAGGGTTTTTTTTTTTTTTTTGAGAAGAAAGAGGAGAAGAGCGTGGTAAATTTTTTTACCAAAAATGAATTTGTTTTCACTTTCACCTTATTCTATATTATAATTTATTTTTATTATTTTTAAAAGGGAAAAGGGTCAAAAATACCCCTCAACTTTGGTTTATTGTTTGACTATGCCCTCGCCGTTAAAATGAAGTTATTTTTACCCCTCCCGTTACTAATTTCACCAAATTTACCCCTCAATTGGATGGAAAATCCAAATCAATTAAAATTACCCAATTTCAATTAAATAACCCAATTTTTTCTCTTTTTAATCCGAACTCGACCCATTTATACCAAATTAAAACCCCAAATCAAGCTCGGCAATCACCATTCATTTTCTCCGTTTTCCGGTGAAACACCACCAAAAGAACCTCCAAACGACCACCTGAAACCACCACTCAAAACCCCCAAAAACCAGAAACGACATCAAGCAGCTCTCAAACACCACCCTCTCCACGCCAAAATTTCCAGGTAAAACCACACTTCAGCCCACCAGAACCCAGACCTCCATCACCCAAGCTAAAACAACCAGCAAATGACCACCAGACCACTAGTTCTCCGACCTCCAAACAACCAACCAACAAAACCCCGACCAAAACCCCATCGGAAAACAATTGAAGCACCGCTAACAGATCAAACCAACAACACAATCAGGCGAAAATCAAGGCTGAGGTAGAGCATATCACTCCCCTCCCCTACTGCTGATTACACTCTTTTCCCCTTTTTCCCCCCACAAACTAATTCAATAAAATAATGGGAAAAGGTGTAGTACTGTGGTGAAACTTTATCCCCAGAAAACGATAGATAATGCAATTATGAAGGAGAGAGAGAACAAGTGTTTGCTACTTGTATTTTTCTGTCTATAAACACAACGGTGCGAATGTTGGAAGAATGGAAGCAAACCAAAGGCCAAGAATGGCGGCAAAAACAAAAAAACTATAAAAAAAATCTCAAAAATAATTCTCATCTTCCTCATACACTTAAAATTTGTAGAGTAATATTTAACCCCCATTTGTTTGCATCATAATAGTAACAAAAAAAGTTTTGAAATTAAAGATGGTGAGTTTGAGGGTAAAGTGAAGAGTTTCTTAAGAGGGTTTGGTCTTATATCTCTTTTTCTGTTTTGCCTTTTTGCTAGTCATTGACAAGGAAAGCCAGTGACTTTCAAAGGGTTTTTTCTTTTTCCATTTCTGGGGATTTTGGCGTGGAGAGGGTGGTGTTTGAGAGCTGCTTGATGTCGTTTCTGGTTTTTGGGGGTTTTGAGTGGTGGTTTCAGGTGGTCGTTTGGAGGTTCTTTTGGTGGTGTTTCGCCGGAAAACGGAGAAAATGAATGGGGATTGCCGGAGCTTGATTTGGGTTTTAATTTGGTATAAATGGGTCGGGTTCGGATTAAAAAGAGAAAAAATTGGGTTATTTAATTGAAATTGGGTAATTTTAATTGATTTGGGTTTTCCATCCAATTGAGGGGTAAATTTGGTGAAATTAGTAACGGGAGGGGTAAAAATAACTTCATTTTAACGGTGAGGGCATAGTCAAACAATAAACCAAAGTTGAGGGGTATTTTTGACCCTTTTCCCTTTTTAAAATCTAGGTGTATTTATAACTGAGTGGTTTACTTATCCACGTCAGAGTATTTGTATATCACGCGTTTTGTCTGAAATATTCAAGTGTTTTTTTAAAAAAAAAATTGGATAGTTAAAGTGTCTCTTCGTGCACTATTAAAGTTAAATGTCAAAGTTATAATTTGAAACCAAATTATGGATCATATTTATGTATTGTGCCAAAAAAAAACATATGAATTTATTTACTCTAATATCCTTTCAAAATCAAAATTTAAACTCCTCACCATTTTTCATCATTTGTCTTTCTTCATGCGATACACAATAACAACATCAACAATGTACTTAATAGAATACTATGAATGAGATAAATGAGAAAAGTATGGTGTACGCAAATCTTATCATTATTTAGGGGATGATTAAAATGATTTTTAATGTATAGGTAATATTTTATTTTGGTTCTTAATATATTTTATTTGATTGAAATGATTCTTAATGTATAATAAATGTGTTCATTTTTGTCGTTAATTTTTTTCACTTGATTGAAATAGTCCTTAATGTATAACAAAAGATGTTCATTTTAGTTCTTTGTTCTAAACCTAACGGATTTTATCAAAATAAATAAATAATTAAATTTAACTATGGACCCTTCTTCATGGCTAACAAAATCCATCATTATTATCTTCTTTGTTAGCTCCAAAGAAAAGCTATGTGAAATCTAACACCATTATCTTTATTTTTATCTTGATAATTTTTTAATATTTTCTCTTGTTTAAAAAAGAAATAGATTTTACATCAGTGGAATTTAGGAAGTAGAAAATAGTAAATTTTGTTGGAGAAAAGAAAAAATGGTGTTAGTTTTTTTTGGAGTTCATTCTTTAGAGCTAACAAAGAAGACAACAATGGTGAATTTTGTTAGCCACGTAGGATCTATAGTTGAATTCAACACTTTTTTTAAAAAAATAAATCTGTTAGATTAGAGTGAAAGACCAAAATGAACACATTTTGTTATATAATAAGGACTATTTCAATCAAGTGAAATATATTAAGGACCAAAATGAACACAATTGTTATACACTAAGGTCCATTTCAATCAAGTGAAATATATTAAGAACCACGATAAAGCATTACTCATATATATATATTAAGGATCATTTTGGTCATTTTCTGGTTCTTCATGTGATAATACTGTTAGATTTACAATTTATAATCATAATTCATTTACATTATCACTATATATGTATTAATTTGTCCAAACAAGCTATTTAATCATTTTTTCATGTTAACAAATCAAAATTACAATAAATTGTTATTTGTTGATTCTTTCTTTAATATTCTTGTTTAACTGAAATTTATTGATTCACTTTACTCTTGCATAGATACACTAAACCCCATTAAAACTTCATAACGATTCTAGCACTAACTAATTAAGTACTCAGCATATACAAACCTTATTATTTTTTTTCTTCGAAAAAAACAAATTATAAATTCTCTTATCAGTCTTCCACAAGTTCCCTAATATTTTTGGGAATACAAAGAGATGTTCCATTGAAACATTTAGTAGCAATAACACTATATATTGTTTCAGTAAGATGATAACCATCCCAGAAGTAGTGTTTATCAGCGTCGCGGCACGGCACAAGTTCTGGTATGCAAGCTGATGTCCCATTTCCCCAAGTGATGCAACATGGACTTGCTGGATCCATTAAACCTACAAACACAAAAATAATAATGTTTCAAATCTCATTGATAAGGTCTTTTGGATCACCTGATAATCGTCTAATCAAATAAATGTCATGATTTTATTGACTTTAGGACTAAAGTAGATGAAGAAATGTCCTTATTAGAGGAACAAGTCATTCAAACAAAGTTAAATTAGCAGAATCAACTTTTTGACCAACTCAGTTATAAGTTGTTACAGGCTAATTATCCTATATTTCACATGAAATGAAAATTATCCACCAAAGGTTTATTAGACTAAGTTGACGAATACGGTAAAATTAATCTAAAATTAGCACTACTACACATAGTGACCTTCAATTTCGATATCTCATTTCAAATTAATTAAATTGTTGAGATGTTTCATACCCTTTAAGAAAAGAAGATTAAGATATAAATTAGGTATAATTTTCTATTTTTACCCTTATTAATTATTGTAAAATTTATGATTAAAATAACTAAACATTAATTAATAACTAATCCAATACTAATTAATGAAGCGTAAAATTGGAAAAACATTTCTAAAAGTAGTCTAAAAAATAAACAATTAATCTAATTTGAAAAATGAAAAATGTCTCAACAATTTAATTAATTTGAAACGGAGAGAGTATTGGCTAATAAACTTTTTTTTATATTTCCCACCTACATTTTAGAATCCCTACTAAATTTAAATTGTGCTTTGCATGACCATTAAAGAATGACACTTCCAACAAAATTTTCTCCAAATCTAATAAACTTCAACTTTCATTTGAAAAATGGGAGAAACATGAATTAAATGGAGGTAAATTTTTTTAAAAAGAAGTGGAAAAATGATGCCACGTGGTATGATGTGGATATGGTTAAATGATTATCGGTGAAATTAATTAACATAATTCTGTCTTGAAGTATTCGAGAGTTAATTTGACTAAGCTTAATAAGACTAGATTAATTTAATATTTTTAAATTTTGATATAATATAAAATAGAATTTGTTTCATAACAATATGATCAAAAATACTCTTCAAACATTGATCAATATTTATATAATTTGACGTTTGAAAAAAAATGTGACAAGTAATTTTAAACGAGAAAAGGAATATTACCATAAGTAGATGGATTGATGATGGCGTCGTAGCCGAGCCAATGACCATGGCCAAGAATAAAAACGGAGCCTTGAAGAGTGGAAGTGAGATTTTTGAGCATTTCACTCAGCTGATTGTTGAAAATTACTGCGAGAGCGTTATATTCTTCGTTGCAACGTCCATTGTGTCGAAGTTTTTTTGTAAATGATGGAATACAACCAATTGGTCCTATCTCGAACATTATTATCTTTCTTGCTCCTAGTCGATATAATCTCTGCACAAAATAAAATCGAAGAATTCATAAAAATTACTTCATCTATCTTATATCAGCTCTAAATCATAAAAACGAGAAAAGCTTTGCCTGAAGTTGTTGAGAAAGTGCATTAACGAGAAGTTTGGCAAATGAGTCAGGAGTATAGTGCTTGCTCGTCCCATAAATATTTGGCTGTAAATAGTTGTTTACATAATCATTGCTGCCTGTAGACACCACAAAAATTGACCGAGACAAATAACTCGAAAATTCCTCAGGATCATCAAATTTTCTGGGCAATTCTCGCTCTACCGTTCTCTGGAATAAATCAACTTGCTCTGAAAAATGCAGGCACTTTCCCTACCAAAAAAGAAATTTTTGTTTGGAGAATTTCGTGCATCCATTTCTACGAACATCTAACAGTAATGGAAAAAAAAAGTACTCACGATGAAATTTCCTGTATAAGGTAAAATGCCGCAGGATCCAGAAGCATAATTTAAGCCGGTGAGTTTTAACGATCCTCGTAAACTCAAATAAGGCGGAGAAAATGGCAATCCGAGAAATTCAGCAATAAAATCAGCAACAGTTTTTCCATTTGTAAATCTTCCAGTAGCTCTGCCTCCATCAAAATTCGAACCATAAGGTTTGAAATCAGCCTTAGCTAAAGTTGGCAAAACATTATTATTTCCACTGTCAAATATTGAATCCCCAAATACATACAGTGCTGGTGCTAGAGGAATTTCTGATTTTACTGATTCAACATACATCAACAGGACTATAATCATTGCTACAAAATTGAATTTCTCCATAACTATATTGTTAATTGTATAATCAATTTTATTTTTTTTGAAAGTGAATTGAGGATATAATGGACTTTAAATAAGCAAGAAATGTGTGATAGTAATCTGGAGTCTGTTATTACTTTATTCTCTTTTTTTAATAAAGTTATACCGTCTCCACGTTTTTTCTACTCCATATCTATGTTTAATTTGTCTCGTTGGCGGGATTTTCACATTTGTGTTAAAATTTTGGATAAATTATGTCACAACTCGATTTGTGTGTGACTTTATTCGGGACGAGTAGTTTGATTATGTAGATTTGAACTAACTTTTTGTATTGTTTTAGCCCCAAAGACCATCCTTTAATATAGTGTTTGAGTCAAATTTGTTTTTGTTTGGACTCCAGATACATGCTCTAGTCGGTCCGTCGGGCGTCTTTAATTTAACGGTACATTTATATGAAATTTCTTAAACGAAAAGAAAGGCTTGAGTCGTGTTCTTGTGAATATTCTAGAGAAGTTATCCATGTTGATTGTGTGATTGATCATATTTTTCATGCACTCGATCAGTTCCATCTTTGTTGTCGTTATGCACACTTTTATGTTTATCAAGTCATTTTTAGCTTCTTTAACAATCTTCAAATTAAGTTGAGTAGTAGTTTCTCTCAAGTTAAAGAGAGCATTGTTGTATATTGCTCTTTTTGGTCTAATTTATGTGACACATTTTAGATTTCGAGATTTAAATAAATTTATTTTTTTATCGTAAATTTTTCATATATCTTTTAAATATTTTTAATTGTCAATTATTGTGACTTATAGTACTTTTTACGTAGTTTACAAATATATAAATTTCATTTCAAAAGACTTGAAGATTTCATACGCAAATTTTTTATTAAACTTAAATTGTTTGACTCTCAAAAAACGAAATGTGTCAAATAAATTGGGAAAAAGCGTGTACCTTTTAGTTATAAATACTTCCTCTCTTAAACTCTAGATGATTTAGCAAAATGACACTTTGAAAACTCAATTTACAAAATGACTGTTGACTTTCTACTTTTCTGGCCTGTTTCGGTAGTACTTTTTTTGTTTTTGTTTATCGGTTACACATAAAAGTTTATTGCTGAACTTGAAATTTTTGGCCTATTTTATATCGAAACGTGTGGTATTTCTACTTATTTTGTTTGTTTCGATCGTGTTTTTTTCTACTTTTGCAAATTTACCATGGTCTATTACTAGACTCGTTGTCGATTATTTATTATTTTTATATTTATTGGTCATGCTCTATTATTTTATCATTTATTAGGGCTATTTTAGATCATAAATTTTTAAAATATTTAATCAGTACCGCTTAAGAAAAAATATAATTTTAATATATATTAGGCCATTGCATAGCTTGTGCGCATCTTTTCACTAGTTATTTAGAAGTTATTATATACTAATTATATATTAGGCCAAATGCATGGCTATTAGCTTGTGCGCATCTTCTCACTAGTTGTATAGAAGTTAGGCCGAAATTTCAATTTATATTGGTGCATGAACCCCTATTAGGATTAGTTGGGGTTACAAAAAATCGAATCGAAAATTGAATCAAATTGTAAATCGAGTCAAATTAGAAAAAAAATTTGATTAGTGTTTTGGTATTGAAAAAAATACGTCGATTATACATGGTTTGGTTTTAACTAAAAAAATCAATCCAAGATCAAACTAACCCGACATTATATATATAATTTTAAAATTTTATTTTATACATAAAAATATTTACTTTGATATAATTTTTAAATATATCTTTTACTTTTTCATAATTTTATTTTTTAACATATTATTTCAAGTTTGAAATTTAAAATTTTGAATGGTCCGATAAAATTTATAGTTCATAGATGTTAGTAGCTCTAATAAAGCTCAAATTAATACTAATGTTTACGGGGAAAAAGATTCAATTCAACACTAAGAAGGACAATAATGTTGAATATGTGTTATTAGTTTTACATTGATCTAGACATTTAAAATATATAATCAATTTTAAAAATTTTCTTTTTAGTCATGCCATAATTAATACTTATTAGACTTAATTTAACATGTTACTACTTTAAAATTATGATCATTTTCATTATGACTTATTGATTTACAATATTTCTTTCATGTGATTTCAATTAATTCATTATTATTTTTTGTTGAATATTTAAGTAATCATATCATATTTTGTATTATTTTCTTAAAAAACACATTAGATAGTTATATTTTGTAGAAGCAAAAAAATATTTGAAGTGCAAGTTTATTATATGTTTGTATGAATACTTTATTGGGAAAACCCAAAAAAATCATGTACACCCCCGAGGATTATCATTAATCAACTCAAATTTCTCTTCCTTTTTTCTCTAGTTTTTTTAAAAAAACTAAACTCAATGAGAAAGTGTGAAACAACAATGCACCCAAATCATACCTCTAACAATTTGTTTGGATGGTTGTTACATATTGTTTTATAATGTATCGTATTGTATTGTATGAATAGTTTTGGATAGATTGTATCGTTTTTCGTCGTTACATAATGTCACACAACCATAATTTGAGTGATAAACCTATAAAAAAAGTAGAGTACATGGTAGAACTACATGTAAAGGTAGGATAACAAATTAAATATGATTATTAAGTAATAAATAAAGTCAAAATGAGAAGAAAATATTAAGACACGACACATTCACATCGAATCGGTTGTTACATAAACTGGATCTTTTCGTCGTTACATAACAATGAATTTAATCAATACGATACAATAGAATGTAAGTAACAATCAAAAACAAACATTGTATCTAAACAACAATACAATAGGGTAACAAACCATCCAAACAAGGTGTTAGTTTACTACCAATTTTCACCCAATGTTGACTTTCTTTTTGGTTTTTTTATTTCGTGTCTAGTTATGATACAGGCATTGAAGCTCGACTATATTCAAATTCGTGCCGCATAGGATCCCATTCGAGAAGAAGCGCTCTCTACCAAAGATTTTTTCATTTCCAGAGCTCAAACATTAAAGTCTGACTGAGAAAAAACAACTCTATCTAGTGTACCACATCCTTTGGACTTGGTAGATGTTAACTTTTTGTTGCTCTTTTTTGTTGTTGTTGTTGATAATTGTGCTGCTATAAGAGGCACAAATTGTTAACAACATTCAAGTTCAAACTGATTTTTTTTTAAATTTCAGATAAGAATTAATTAAATTTGGAGGTCAATAACATAGCAACAAATGGCTAGAAGATCACGGATCAATTCAATGTCTTCTTTAAAATTCTCATTTGGTCCTTTGGAGGAGCGATTATACTAAACAAAATAATTTCGTCAAATATAAAAATTAAACCTTTTGAAAATCACAATAGTAATTTTAGATAGCTTCCTTACATAATATTAGTACATGGTCCAAAGTTTTCATAGTAAACGTTTTGATGAACCAAAATTCTAACGGAGGACAAATTTAAACCATATCGCAAATTAAATCCTAATAAGGACTTGGCCGCTTGAGGTATTCTTTATTGACGCGTAGCAGTGCTTATGTTGGCGAAACAAGAAAAAAAATAAACAAATCCAAATCATCGAGTCTCCGATTTCAAGAATTATTGGGCTTCTGTCTTTTATCCAACAAAATCATCCATTCATTCCATCGCTTTGTCTCTCTCTGTTTGTATCTACGTAATTTTGAGGTTTTTTTTTTTTCTTTTTCCCATCTTTTACTTTGTTATCTAACCTGCAAATTGGGTGACCTCAAATGGGTATTGTTTGAATTTGGTTGATTAACAGATATATCTGCGTTGAAGTTTTGTCTTTTGACTCAACAATGGATTAATTCTGAAATTAAAATTACCAATTCTTGGTTATCTGTTTGCCTTATGATTGTGACAATTGAGCTTTTTAGCTGATCATTTATGGTTGGTTGCTTGCTTACTAAGATTGTGTGAATGAAACCCTTGATGCCCATTTAGAAAACAGGAGGAGAAAAAAGTAATCTTTTTTGTAATCCATGGAAATTTTTGATGTTTTACAATCGTATCTACTTTCTAATAGTGTTTGTTATTGTATAAGCTTTGATTGAATTCACGGCTAGTAGCTTTTGCTCAAACAGTGAATTGTGTTAAGAAATTCATTATTCAGAACCCATTTAGTAGTTGTTCTAAAATCCAAAACCCATAAAGTTGAAATTATGCTCCGGGTGCTATGCAGTGGCTTAATTCCCAAAGAAAGTAAATTTTTTCACTGAGTTTCATATATAATTGCATATAAAGATATCACATTTAACTACTGTATTGGGCACTCTGAATTTTGGAAGTAAAAGGGTCCAAGTGGAGTTGAATGAATATTGAGGATTCATATAGCCAACAAGAATTGTTTGGAGTTAAGCCTTTAAGGTGTGTATTTCTTCGAGAGCTGCAAGTTTTGAAGTATTGTGTGTCTTCTAAAGTAAACCATCCGGCTGTATATATCTTAGTTCTAATAGTTTAATTGTCTCTGCTGTTACAGGTGTCGAACATCATACTTTTCTTTCTTAAGGCCTTGATCAGAAAGGGCATTCACTCATTCGGGATTTCCTGAAGAGAGCGGGTGCCCAATTGGCTCGCTTCCTCATTTGCTTGCTGAAGGCCTTTTGTCAGTTCTATTAAGTTACCCCAAATTTCGATCACCACAACTTTTGCTTCCACAATCAGGAAATAGAGACAATTGGGGATTGTCAATGACACTTGAAAAGGTTTTTGAGGAACTATCATAGCTTGAAAGAGATATAATGGGTGCAGTTTGTTGCTGCTTGCGAGACGAATGTGAAGATTTTGCCAACCCAAACAGCTCAATGTATAGGAACTGTATATGCTTTCCAACTCTTGTTCAGAACTTCTTGCATGTGGTATGCTTTTCGACGACATGTTTGTATAATCACTTTATAGTTCCTTCTTTTTGAACACACTACTGCTTCTTACACAGTCATATATCAATGGATAGTACCTTTCTAGTCTCTTTCCTCTGAATCATTAACTAATATTCCCACCTGAAGTAATTAGCGAGTTTTAAATTGATCTTGTTACCGTTGCTTTGTCATGGGACAATGTTCAGTTGTAAGCGGCACTTATTTTGTGAACCGATAGCATCAGTAGTTTGGTGGTAGAAATTGATACTTGACTATCTTGAACAATGAGACCCAAACTCATTTACTTCTTTGATCTGTTTAACAGGAATGCTCATAGTTGCAATGAGTTGTTAGCTAACTCTGCCGTTGCTTAAACTCAGTGGGAGTAGTATTGGCTGTTTCTTTTGCTAAATTTTGCTTGAAAAATTGGGTTTTTTTCTTGCTTTGTACTGAATCACTTAGATATACTGTGTTTGCTAAAGAAATTGAAACGAGAGGAAGGACGGATTTCAGGCTCTGGAAGGCAGTCAATTGTTAGATTTCATATGCTAGCGGATCCTGTCCATGGGATTCCTCCTTTGCATTGCAATTAGGTTTTCTCTGCCTCTATCAGATGATGAAACAACTTTACTATTTCAGTAAGGCTCATCATCCACAGCTCTGACACATGGAAAGTAAGGAACTTAATATTACTCGTAAATCTTTTGAGAGTATTCGGTAGCTGAACTTATCTGCATAATCTGTTTAGGTATTTGTATCACAAAATATTATCTTTGGGTATGGTCTTGTATTTAGATCGTCATCAGCTTCACATCAAGACCTTTTTCATTCACTGAATAGGTGCTGATGATAATTACTTTCCTTTATGTGCCATAGAATTTACATATCTTCATTCTTATCTTGCAGTATGCATCACTTTTCCATAGAGGAGAAAGACATGTCATTCCTTCATCGGATCAAGGTGCAGCATCTTTGAGTTCTACAGCATCTCTTGATGACTCACTATCTGACATGTACCGTTCTCCTCCGAGACCACTGCCATATGATGCTGATCCAAGATATTTCCGCATGCAACAAGATGGACAAGTCTCAAGAAGGGAGAAAGGCTCGAGCCACTCATATGAGGAAACTGAGCCACTACAAAGAAGTTTTGATGACCCTGAATCGTTAAGTGATGTAAATAAATGGAGTCTGCCTACATTTGAAGAAGGATCAAAAGAATACAATAAGTCTTCTGTGGAATTCTCAACTGCTAAAATGACTTCTGGAGATGCTCATAGCTATTATTATTCAGAAGATGAAGATGTCTGCCCAACATGTCTTGAAGGTAAATTTTTTATAGCCTTGTGTTCTACTTCATTGGATGTAACAAAGTAGTCTAATGCATGCCGTTTACAGAGAGCCTTATAAAAAGTCTTCTTCTACTCCTCTTGTCCCACCCTCTGGTAGCATAATTTAGACATTAGTTTATCGATTGGACAGTGTAAATTTAAACTACCCTAGTCACTGTTATAGTTTTTCAGTTTTTCCATCTAAAATCAATGGTGTAATACTATTTGTTAAAGAATAAACACTCAACTGGTGAACAACAGTATTTGATAGCAAGGTTCAAGGTATCTTTTGAATATTAATTTTCATGATCCTGTAATCTTACCTTATCAAAACAAAAGATGACCCTGATGATCCTGTTTCTTTCAGAATATACAGAGGAAAACCCAAAAATAATAACAAAATGCTCTCACCATTTCCACCTGAGTTGTATATATGAGTGGATGGAAAGAAGTGACAGCTGTCCAGTTTGTGGCAAGGTAATTGTGATATCATTTAAATTTATGTGTCATCTCCTTCTCTTCTTTTTTTATGCTTGATTTGGTGTTATGGTTGAGCTTATCCTATATATGCTGCAATGCCACACACAGGTCCCAGGCTTTCCGAGGGAAATGTATGCATATTTTTATTCTTCTATATTGACCTCTCTGTTTTAGTGACGATCAAGTAGTTCTAACATATACCCATTACAGCCTAACAATATAGAATCAAATCCCTTCATGAAGCTGCAGAAATCCTCCCCACACTTTTTAGCTGGGCTAACTCTACCCCTCTAAATAACTTAGATCACTACCTGGATTTTGTCAGCTCCTTGGCTCTATAAGTTTTTTGTTCCGACTGAGCTGACAGATCCCCAAATCTTCAGATCTACTGGATGCCTTAATGAAATTTCACTTGCTTCATCAAAAAATCCTCCCCTCACTGCTTATTCTTTGGATCCATAATAATTAATAAGGAGGCAGTTCCAGGAATGTTCATGGTGTAAAGATTAAATTATATTCTGATAAAAAAAAAACATCTACATTTCTTGTCTTTTTGTTTCATTTTGGCGAGAAAGTGTGAACTAGGAAAGGCAAAACAAGGGGAGGGGTGTAAGGAACCGTATGTCTCCCTCGTTTTTATTAGTTTAAGATTCTTTTTCATGAATTACCCAGTTCTTATTCTCAGCCACACTCCTGTCTTTGTCAAGATTATCTTCTTGGTGCACTAAAAAGCATGAGCTGACATTCTTCAGATTTCTTTTTTGATTCTTCTGGAAAAATTAATGATACATGGGCCAACTTATTACAAATACTTGCATGGGATATAGCTAGCATCTATTTTATCATCATTATCTTGTTTGGCATGGAGGACTGGCTCATTGCTTATTTATTTAGTCACCTTTTTCTCAATTTGGCAATTATACCCAAATCAGCAAACTTAGTTTTTCCTGCATTAATGCTGCTTTATATGAAATACTGAGGTTTTCTATATCATAAAGGTAATTCATAGTTGTATGGAATGAACTCAGGAAAAGAGGTTATTGAAAAATCTCTAGGAGAGGTTTATTTTAATGAATGCCGATGATGAGAGTAAAAAAAAGCTGAACTGCAGTCAGGTACAGAAGGTTTGGTGTAAAATACCAATCGTAGTGTGAGGGCTTGAACCGTGAACTGAGCAGAGAAAGCATGTCAAGGATTTCATAACTTGTCGCATTTCTAGGTCGTCAGAAGCAAGTCAATAACATTAGATGAACAGAAAATAAATTTAGAGGAAGCGTGGAGAATCTAAACGAGGTTGTAGAATGATACACAACCTGAACATTAACAATTACATTGCATGTGCATATTTGATTCAAATATTGTCCTATTCTTAAGAGACTTCGTATAACCATGTTACTGGATTGGCTAACAACCTGCAGGGTCTCTTTAAGTGCTCTCAGTTATGGTGCTAAAGTCTGGTGGCTTGTTATGCAGTTAAACATGTGCAATAGTGGAATCCCACAATGTGTGACTATCTTGAGGAAGTTTGTAAATTTTGGGAATTGGTCTCTAAAAGAAGTTCATCAGACTGATAAAGACTGATGCCAATAGCCAGAGCAACAATAAATTAACGATTAACGAGGACAATATCTTGAGGTTTAGTAAATATTTGGATATGATACAATATTAGAGAGATTATTTAGGGGGAGATGTCACATGCAACCTTCTTTGGAGAAGTTGGTTGATTAAATGTTAAGTGAGAAACTAAAAGATCTATTCTTTTTGTTAAGAGAATTGTCATTGGTAAGCATCAAGAAAATACTTAGAAGTGCATCAAGGATTAAAAGTTGTATAGGTTCGTCAACGCGAGAGATATGAGGGCCCGTGACTTGGACTAAGTGAAGTGCATCAAGGATGTAAATGGAGAAATAGGGATTTGGGTATTGTAGGTGCATAAAGATTGTGGAGGTGAAGAAGGCAATTTAGAGGAAATTGGATCAGATGCCAGTTGTTAGAGAAGTGAAAATTCACTTTCCAGAGCCACTGACCCCAACCACTTGTCCATCCAAAATTTAATCTGTGCTTCATTCCTTACCTTGAGTTTTGAGTTAAGACTCATCCCACAATTTTGAAATATGTTTCCATGGACTGTGCCATAGGGTAATCTGCTCTGCTTTGTGTATTTTGCTTTGATCACTGCTTTCCACAACCCTAGAGTTTCTATGTTGATCTTCCAATGCCATTTCCTTAGCATACTTTTGCGATATAGTACCAGATCTGTCATACCCAGATCTCCATGCCCATCAGTGGGACGACTCTTGGCCATTTGATCAGATTAAATTTGTGATTCTCGCCCGTGTTATCAAAAGCAAAAAACACAAAAAAACTCTAACTTGGAGCTTTAAGAGCAAAGAAAGCGTGAGCTTTAATGAAAAAAGACGGAAATGGAGAAAAAAGATACAAATTTTATATATGTTTAGTCCAAGACTGATAATTATAAGGATAAATAACAAATATATGGACAATGAAATTGAATTTTTTTTTACAAGAAAGGGAAATATCAATTGTTTAGTGCAGTCTCTTTTAGAAAACGCTCATTGGCAAGGACAAATATGTCTTAGCTTGATGATGACACGGAACCGCACATTAAGTGAGGCGAAGCTCTCAACATGTTTTGAACCTCACTTCCAGGCTTAAAGCGTGCCTTTGAGAACACTGATTCCGGCCATTTCGTTCCCCAAGAAATTCACATCTTAGCTGATCTACTTCTTATGTGCTTCGACTGGTATTGGTAAAAGGAACATGAAGTATGTTGGAATGCTGCTCAACACACTATTACTGAGAGTTAATTTACCCCCAAAAGATAGGTAAGTTAATTTACCCCCAAAAGATAGGTACTGTGTATTTCAAGATGTCGATCTTTTCTCAAACTTCACAATAATCCTATTCCAGATTTTATATGACTTGCATCTTGCACCTGGTGGGAGGCCCATGTATGTTACTGGGAAGGAGCCCAGATTGCAGCACAGTATCTGAGATAGATCCTCCAGTTCAGGGACTACATTAACTGGGTATATGGTGCCTTTTAACATGTTCATAATTAGTCTTGATAAGGCTTCAAAGATTATAAGTGTGAGATTCAAGTACATTACATATATTCTCTCAGCTCTACACAATATGAGTGTTTCATCTGCATAGAGCAGATGAGAAACTGTGACAGAGTTCCCAGCATCATTTCCAACCTTAAAGCTTCCAACCAATGTAGTAGATTGGCTTTCTCAATCATTTTACTGAGTCCCTCCACAGCTAAAATAGATAGGAATAGGGAGAGGGGATCTCCTTTCTTGTCTTCCAGAAGCATCTTCTTCTGTCTCTCCTGTGAGCATTACATAAAGGGCTAATGTGATTGCATCAATTAGCTCAAATGTATTTATTCCTTCGGTAACCCAATGAGTGTTTTTAATTACAGCATTGGCTATACCTTCTCAGATAGTTCTAACTGTTCTTGTTCAGAGTTTTCTGTTTCAAGTACCAGTATTCTTTCTTTTCTTTGCAGAATTTCTTTTAATTCTGGTCTGGATTTCATTTCTTCTTTTAACTGTGTTTCTTCCACTGTTAAAAGTTTGATGACTTCTTCCATTGGGGAAGTTGTCTTTCCATCTAAAATTATATCTTCCTTTTCGATATTATTCCAAAAGTATTCTTCTAATAACTCCTGGTAGTCCATGACTATCCTTTGTAGTTATCAAAATCTTCTGGCCATCTCATGGCTTTAGGATTTCCTGATGATCCTAATTCTGCGTTCCCATCATTGTAGTTAGGCCATTTGTATCTCCATCCTTGAACTGGTTTTTTGGTTTCTGGTTCTTTTGGAGTTTTTTGGATTTGGTCATCCTTTGGTAATCTCCTGCTGATTTACTCCTGTTGATTCCTGCTTTGTTTTTCAACAACTCAGTTATCTCTTTGCTGCATTCACATTTATCTGTCTTGTTAGATATGTCTCTGATTATTTTTGCAGCAATTTGTTCCATTTTCTCAATTTCTTGAGATTGTGGTTTGTTTCTGAGGAGGTCTAAGATCTGGTCGATCTTTTTGTCCATTGCCTCAATTTTTGTACTGATGGTTGTTAACTTGTTATGCTTGCCATCAATTTCCTAGAATCTGTTTGAGATTTGTGTTAATCTCCTTTAACTGATTCTCAAGACTGTTGATCTTTTCCTTATGATCTTGGTCTTTTATCCTGTCTAGGATTTTATCTGAGAAGAGAAAAAAAGCCTACACATCCACCATTTATTAGGACAGTATTTAACAGTGGTAACACTGATGTTGATCCACTTAAGCCATCCTTCTCCAAATCCATTTTCCTCAGAATAGAGAATAGATATAACCAGTTCAGCTGGTCAAAGCTTTCAATTTCCTCAAAAAAAGACCAGGCTGTTCAGATTTCAACTCCCAACCCAAGACCTCATTAGCTAACAAGGCCGTGTCAGAAATCTACCTTGATTTAATAATGCATGCTGATGCCCTGAAACCAGTTTCATTTTCACTCTAAAAAATTTTCAAGGCAGTTTTATACACTACTAATTAAATTAATTGGCCTTTAATCACTCAACTCCATAACCCCTTCCTTCTGAGGAATTAGAGTTATGAATGATGCATTGCTGACCATGTTTCTTGATTGATGAAAGTGCTGAAGAGCACCCATAACATCATGTTTGACATTACCTATGCCTTTTTGGTAGAATTTCGTGGTGTATCCATCAGGTCCGGAGCTTTATTTCGAGCACTTTCTGTTGTAGAGGCAAGTACTTCAGATTCCTCGGTCTTTCCAGCCACAATTTCTCATCCTCTGGGTTTGATGCCACCTCCTCCAGATTTGTTGTTCAATTCTCATTTTATTACCCTAATAAGTACTCCCTCTGTCCCAATTTATGTGTCGTACTTCTCTGTTTAGTGTTTTCAAAACGAACGTCACACTCATATAGAGATAAATTAACTTTAAACTTCTCATTTGAATGAGATGATTTATAGCCACAGAAATATCTATGACTTGTTTTAGACCATAAGTTTCAAAAGTCTTGTCTTTCTTTCTTAAATTTCGTGCCCAATGAAACACTGCCACATAAATTGAGGGGGGAGTATACTTTCTCTGAAATGAAGGTGTTGAGGTCTAAAGCTGATAAGGTAGTTGAGAAGATGAGAAACTCCCATTGTTTTGATGTAATTCCATTGAGGTTTGACAGTCCCTTGGATATCAGTGGTGAAGTTGACTGAATGGATTCAGGTATCCAATCAAACTACTTGTGAACAATGAAAAATGACAACTATTCTGGTTGTTTGCCTAACCTGATTTGATGCAATCACTTGGACTTATGCTTGAGCTTACCAAATTAGTCTATGGGTTGGATTGGGTCTAAAAAATTGCATGTTCAAGATAACGACTTAAGAGTTTTTCAGGGCCTTTAAGGCAGTCTAAACAGACACTTTATTTCCTACTTATCTTTCTAGTCAAACTGCACCAGAATGTTGTACCCTGACCTGATGTTGGCTTTAGCCAACCAGTCCACCCTTTTTAAGGTACATTTATTCTAGGCCTGCTTCATGCTTATCCACAAATCTCTTTAGGGCTATTATTGACAATCCACATGGAAACGTTCCTTGGGAAATTTTGTGACCAGATAGAGCCTGAAAGTGATTGGGAGTTTCGAACTGTGTTGATTTTAATAGAGTCGTCGAAAAGGCTATGATGAGATTCATGAAAAGGTTTGGTAAATCTAGCTAATTGCCATCTCTTAGCTTATATCAGGGTTAGCGCGATGGATAAGTGGTATTTGATACCTCTAATATAGAGAAAAGATTAAAAAAGTCTTGCTATGAAAAATTGAAGAGGACCATGTGAAGGGCCCCTAATATGTTTTCTGTTGTCCACCAAGGCTTGACATCATACAATCTCAAAGATATGTCTTGGGACACTTTCAGTTCTGTTAACCCCCAAAAAAATAAAAAATCAACGAGAGGGAGTTGCTCGGATGGTAAGCACCCCTCACTTCCAACCCGAAGGTTGCGAGTTCGAGTCACCAAGGGAGCAAAAAGGGTGGGAGCTCCTAGGGAGGGTAAAATAATAATAAAAAAAAAAAAAAAAAAAAAGACTGAACACTTCAATTGATGCTAATGTTGCTATAAAAACCACCTATGTGACGAGTATACTCTGGCTGCTTCTCCTCCCTACTCCCTCCTTTACTTTTTTTAATCTGTGCCATGTTCTTCAGGGGGTTTGTTGCCCTTTCCTTGCTATAGTTTCTCCTTGTCTCACGAATAGAAGAAGGTTCTTTTTTTCTAAGGTGCACCACATATGCATGTTAGAACTCGATAAATCATATTATATCCTTGGCAGTAGAAGCTAGAGTTATCAATCTCAGTTTCAAGTGGGCTGTGCTGCAATTTCGCGCTCAAGAATCACAGATCTGCTTAAGTTCTTTCAGTGCTTCACCGTGTGTGACAAACTTACAAAACATGTCCCTCTGTTAAATAGTAAAGTTGTCGATTTTGAATTAAAACAAGAATAGATAGCAACAGAGCACCAGAAAACACCGGGAATGAGAAACAAAAAAAAGAAAAGGGAGTCAACTAGGAAATTATGTTGATTCCGATACACTTAGTGTGTCATACAGTTATTATTTTTGCAACACATTTAATGATTTTGATGGGAATAATGTCTTTCTTGAGCTTCACGTTCGCTTTACTTTTCATAGACAATGTAAGATGTAGATGAGGTTGTAGAAGGAGCATTCCATTCCAATATTTCTGTTTCTCTCTTTGACCATATAACACACACTAACTCGAGTTCTCTCCAAAAATCCTTCAGTTTTATCGTACTTATTTCAGTAAGAGTTTATGTGTTAATAGATAAATACTCGTATACAGCAGACATTGTTTCGAAAAACACTTTTCTAAAATTTCAAGTTTGGCCTTCTTTTTTTGATTTGTAGGTGATGGCATTTGACGAGACAACCTAATCTTTGCTCAAGAAGTTGCAGTTCCAGAGGGGTGAAACCAGCAGTAGTAAGGGATTATAAAACCAGAACAGATAAATTTAAAGTCTGTGTGAATACCATTTTGCCAAATACATATATGTTATCATGTACAGTAAAATATAAAATAAGTACTAATTGTTAAACATATCCCTCATTAATGCTTGAGTTTCCATATTGTTATATGGTTTTCACTTTATTGTTGCACCCCCAGTTTGGTGGATTTTCCATATACAGTTTTCGCTGTTGTTTACAAGTACATAGTTCAGAGATTCTTCTCCTGTTATAACATCTGTTTGGTAAAAGGTTTGTTCATCGATAACCAACAATTCTTTTTGAAATGAAAAAAAAAAAATCTACTAGAGCAAAGTATAGAAATATTGTTTTCTAGTACAGTCTCTCTACCTTAACCGAGGTATGGATAAGGTCTGTATGCACCCTATTCTCACGCATACCAGACTTGCTTATTGGATCATATTGGATATGTTGTTATTAAGGATTAATTATTTATCAGAAAACAACAGGAAGAAGGTATGGATAAGGTCTGTCTGCACCCCATTCTCACGCATACCAGACTTGCTTATTGGATCATATTGGATATGTTGTTGTTATTAAGGATTAATTATTTATCGGAAAACAACAACAACAACAAATGAATATTAATCCATATTTCAAAGATTCACTTGTTTCACTACTCAGACAATATAATCATATTGCTATGAAACATAATCTACACCTAACAATTCATAGTCTAAAGTTTACATATATTATTCCATGGAACTTCTAGTTTCTTTGATTCCATAACAAACCTAATATTGCAAAATCACAAGTTCTATAGAAGACGAATCTGAAGGGATGTCTCTCAAATTATCCTTAATACATATATACCTTTCGAAAAACATTTTTCACTAACCATCTATCAAACATTAAAAACATAATCTAGAAAAAAATATTTTCAGTCGTATCAAACACAAACGAAGGTGACATTTCTGATAGTTCATAATAACTATTAAGACTATTTGTTAGCTCATCATCTGCTTCATATTAAGCAAAACAAGTAGACAAGAATTAATTACAGATTGATTACAACTAATTAGTACAACAAAGCCATACAATTGTGATTTTATATGTATATAAATTAATTAACTTTTCATCCTTTGTTGTGGACATGGTGGAACATCCATGGAGGCATCAAGGTATTGTAACCATCGCGATTTTGACTTTCATCCGTTGCTTGAGAAGGACCTCTGAGAGTTTATTAACTCAAAATAATAAGTGAAATACAAGGTAAAACTATATACAATATTAAATCAATCGTCAATGCACCATGCTATCCCATATATGTGTGTCATGTGTAAATACGGTCTTTTAAACAAAATCTAAAGATATGCACATATATTTTCAAGGGTACGGTACACATGACCCCAATATTGTTTATATATTGAGATCAAAGATATAAAATGAAGGCTCGAAGCTTGAAAACATGTTAAATCAAGAAGTTTATATTTCACATTCGAATATTAATTTATTTGAAAAATTAATAAATATAAATTTAATTAAAATACTCAAAAATAGAAAAAGAGTAGTACCCAATTGCTAGGTTAGTGACTGAGGGAGATTGTAGCAAGAAAGTCATGGTAGACCTTTGGCCTGGATTTGTTTGCACAATTTGCTTCTTCTCATTTTCTTTAAGCTGTTTAATTCATATTTCGCGCTTCAATATAAATATTGAATATCAAACGAAGAAAAAGAACTCATAATATAATATATATTACCTTCTTAGAAATTAAGTTGTTTCGCTCTTGCAGTTCTTTTTCCTGCAGTTGAAGTGACTAAATTAACTATTATGATTTATGCCATAACATTAATTAGAATAAAAGATTTTTACAAAAATATACATGATAAAATAATTACATCACATAGCTCATATCTTCGCTCAGCATAACCATTTTTTTTTTCACCTGTGCTCATACAATATTGTACATTTACCATACACAATGTATAAATTAAGACAAACGTGAATAAGTGGTGTTTATACACATTTTAGTCATTTGTATGCGGTGTTCTAAAAGGCGGGGGTGTGAGGCGAGGCGTTTTATACAATGTGGGGCGAGGCGTAAGTCCAATGGATCTATGGGGCATAGTCTCATCTATATTCAATTTTATAATTTTATTACTATAGTAAAATAAGCAAAAGTAAATCTTTCAATGATCTTACAAATAAAGTTTTATAAATAACCTATATAATATATAGAAATTATATTATGATTTTTATTTGAGATAAGTATTAATAATCAATAATGAAGAAAAAAAGTATTACAATTACGATTTGAGAAATATCATTATACCAATAATAAAAAATATGATTTAAAGCAAAAAAGGTTCAAAAAAAATAATTAAAAACGCCCGGGACTACGTTTTTACGTCCAACACTTACGTTTTTATGCTCGAGTAGAACTTATGCCTTATGGGTCTACTTACGTCTTTAATTTACATCCCGGATCGTTTTTGGTACGCCCTACCTCAAAACTCGCCCCAAAAACATTTTTGAAAACACTGTTTGTATGCTTTGAATTATATTTTGGTTTCCCACTGCGCCTGAAAGTCCCACAGTGAGGGTAAAACACTTTCTAACTAAGGCGACTTCGTAAACAGGAGGACTCAAATCCGAAATCTCTGATTAAGAATGAATGAATACTTACCACTCAACCACAATCCTTGTCGATTGCTTTGAAAAATTCACTCATAGTTCACATAGTTAATTATGACAAGAAAGAAATATTAAATAAAGTGCAGTTACTTTAATAAAGTAAAAAGTATTTTTAGACTTTACACAATTAATTAGAGGTGAATATTAGTGAGGTCGTTTTTACAAGTTGAAGAAAGATTTTTTACCTTTTTCTGCAGCTGGGAAATGGACTCATGCATCAGTTGATTCTGCAAATTCCAGTGACAGGTCTTGTTGAGCAATTTTTATTTTTTAGGTTAAAACAACATTATATTAAATAATAATAAAAATAATTAACTACTAGTATTAGTTAGTCGAACCTACTTTATCGAAAAATTATACCTTACATAGAGATCAAAAATTAATTTCTATACTTGTATATTAAACCTTGAATATCCCAACGAATTTCTAGCTTCTCCAATGAATTATTTAGTTAATAATTTATTGGAAGAAAAAAAAATTTATGGAATAATATTTATTCGATAAATTGAAAAGTACCATTGATATTTACTTATTTTCTTATATGTTATTATATGTCTCACATATTATTAATCGTTGAGAATAATACTGACCTTCCTAGATCGCACTCGTTTCAGAGCTGTATCGAGTTGTTGCTCTAAACCCTGAAATTCACGCAGATTAAAGGCATCCAGATCTTCTCCCATAAAATGCCTGCAGTCATATTTCAATTTCAATTCCAAATATAAATCAAAGAAATATACAAGGTTAGGGATCTGACTCCTCTCCGTTTCCCTTTCCTCCATTTTCCCTAAGTTCTTGCTTCGATGTGAGACACATGGCATAGATAAAAATCAATGGCTAAGATTAAATTGATTAAAATAAGATTTTAATTATGATTTAGATAATTAATATTTCATAAGAAAAATAATAATATCATAATCATAAGTCATAACAATATAATATCTTGTCTATAAATATATGGAAAAATAACTAGAATACACAACCTTAGTTAATGTATTCACAATAACTCCCTACTATTTTAAAAAATTTCCAAAATCCCTATTTTCCCAAAAATTAAACTACAGTACATACATTATTATTATAATTTTCAAACCATTAGTTACCACCCCTAAATTTACTCTCCTCTAATTTCTCCCACTTTACTGTTCACGAACACCTCCCTTCCAAAAAATTCTCATCCATCTTCTCAACAGATTCATATTCCAAGTTTGAATTTCAAACTATTTCGCACTCCATTCAACCAATTTCAGAATTTGAAATAGGTAGTCTCTTCATCTTCAACTTTTTTTTTCGTTTTTTTTTATTTTCTAATAATTCATGGATCATCCGTCTTTCAGTTTGGCGATTACCCAAATAGTCAAAAACTAAAAAGGAGGCACATGCAAAAACGCCCAAGAAAAGGGGTAGAAAGGTCGCCCCTGCCATATCCAGATATGCACTACCAACGGTATGTATTTTAATTTTTTTTTCTTTTTTCTTATAATTTTCTGTATTAACATGTAATGAGTTTTGTGTAATAGTAGATACATTATTGTTAATTAAAAATTATTATGTATATTGATTAAATTCTTCATTTGTTACACAAAACCTTAATTTTTGATATATTTGTTTATTTATTACGACTAATATATCAAAAAGTTAAAATTCAAATAATGAGATAGAACTGTTGATAGTTATTATTAATTTATCAAATGGTTGTTTTGTGTGTCATTATTCATTTTACCAGAAATGGCATTATTGGTCATTTTTTTGTTCTCAAAAGTGTATGAAATTTTAAAGTTCAAATTAGAGGATTACATGTATGTTGCAGAACAACATAATGTTTTATAATTTGGCTTATTGTTTCTATTAAGTATCAAGTTGACTAATTCATAATCTGTAGTTAGTATTATGTATCAAGTACATTTTTACATTTTTATGTATCATCTGAAAGCTTTTAAGTATCAAGTTGACTAATTCATAATATGTAGTTAGTATTATGTATAAGTACAATTTTACATTCTTATGTATCATCTGAAAGCTTATTGTTTCTATTAAGTATCAAGTTGACTAATTCATAATCTGTAGTTAGTATTATGTATCAAGTACAATTTTACATTTTTATGTATCATCTGAAAGCTTATTGTTTCTATTAAGTATCAAGTTGACTAATTCATAATTTGTAGTTAGTATTATGTATCAAGTACAATTTTACATTCTTATGAATCATTTGAAAGCTTATTGTTTCTATTAAGTATCAAGTTGACTAATTCATAATTTGTAGTTAGTATTATGTATCAAGTACAATTTTACATTCTTATGTATCATCTAAAAGCGTATTGTTTCTATTAAGTATCAACATCATATTTATAATCTGTAGTTAAAATTATGTTTCAAGTACAATTTTACCTTCCTATGTATCATCTGAAAGTTTATTGTTTCTATTAAGTATCAACATCATATTTATAATCTGTAGTTAGAATTACGTATCAAGTACACTTTTACATTCT